TAGACATGAAAGCCATCTGGATGACTTTGGACTGCCAGTCATTCTTTCTTAGCCAGTCAGGGTCAGGCGACAAGCCAATCAGTCAATTTATTGCACAACCAATGCATAGCAATAACAATAGCTTAGACTTACATACCACCCCACAGTGCTTTATAGCACTCTATGGACAGTTTAGAGAGTCACCATATTTTCCCCCAACAATGTGGGTCCTCATTTTACCAACCTCGGAAGGATGGAAGGCTGAGTCAACCTCCAGTCCTGTCAGGATCAAACTCCTGACTGTGGCCAGAGTTACAGATAGATACAGATTAACAGAGTTGGAAGTCATCTAGTCCAACCCCCCACCCAAGTAGACCCTACACCAGTAATGGTTAACCTTTTCGGCATGCGCACAGCGGCCACCTGCTCTTCCGGGTTCCGTTGTGCACTTGCGCGCCTGACAGCTAGTCACACATGTGCTTGACAAAACCCAGAAGAGCAGCTGGCAATGGCACGCGTGCCCAGAGAGGGGTCTGCATGCCACGTCTGGCATGTGTGCCATAGGTTCACCATCATGGCCCTACACCATTTTTGTCAGATGGCAGTCCAGTCTCTTCTTGAAAGCTCCCAGTGATGAAGCTCCCACAACAGAAGACAAGCTGTCCCATTGGTTGATTGTTCTCACTGTCAGAAAATTTATCCTTATTTCCTAGTTAAATCTCTCCTTTTTCAGTTTCAATCCATTATTCCTTGTCCAGCCTGCAATACTGCATTTCTAATCACTACACCACTAGGGCTCCTTCTTTTAATTGATAAAAAAAACAGGTCCTGCACTTGCAGAAAAATGCTAGGAAGAAAAACAAAGAACAATATAATAGTAACTATAGAAGTCCAAGAGAAATTAAATAAATTAAAGAGAATTACAGACATCAAAATAATGGCCGTTCATAAATGGATGAATGTGTCCCACAGGGTTCCACTTGCTCCACAGGATGCCGAAAATGTGAACAACCTGAAATTAAATTCAGACAGCTAGTATAGTGTAGTAGCTATAAAGTTGGGATAGGACCAAAGAGACCCAGGTTCAAATATATTCTTAGTTATAGAAGCTCATTTTATGACTTTAGACTAGTTATTCTTCCTCAATCCAACCTAGGATTGTTGAGTATTGGAATAATACATAATAATATAGTACTTTATATAGATCCAAGTCTCAGTATTGCAGTTTGATTAACCTAACTGAGTGTTTTAAGAGGAAGGTGAAAGGGACAGGGGATTGGTGATTTCTGTTTCCTTGCTTTTTTTCAGTCATTGCCAACACTATTGGGCCAAGAATTCCTGAAGGTTCTGACTTGGTCCTCATCTGTAACCTCAGCTACTACACAGGAAAAGAGCATTTTCAGTGGAAGTGGCTGGACCTGGAATCCAGCAACAGCTCTCAGTCTGGTTCCAGTAGGCCTGTGAAATGGGGCCCAATCCAGGAATTCCGCCAGGTGTCATCAAGGGATGCGGGCATCTGGGAATGCAGTGCCCATGGTCCAGAGGGGAAGCTGGGATCGGTGCAGTATCACCTGGAAATTGCAGGTATTCTTTGTTTCTTTAATTGCAGAAATGCCTATTTCACTGCAAATTATATGATCACAACAGTTCCCATGTTTATGCTTGACAAGAAAAAGAAGGTAGAAACTACAGCACAGTGCCAGGATAAAGCAGATCAACAGAAGCTTGGAGAAAATAGAAACTTCTTCTGGTATTATGCATTCCAAGAAGTTGTTTGGGAACAGCATTCAAAAGTAACCTCCACCCCTACTCTCTTCACCAGCTGCCCCAGATAGCAAAAAATTTGAAAGATCTCCCATGAAGCTCAGAAAGCAGGTTAAAAGTGACCCGGCTTTGAAGCCAAACCCACAAACTGGGCTTGAAAACAAACAAGAACGCAGCGCAGTGTGGCCCCTGTGCACAACCAGATCGCATTGAGCAGCTCTCATTGTTAGCCTCATTCCCTGCTTTTGAATTAGAAGAGTTTCCCGATTACCGCCCCCCCCCCCGAAGAAGCAGGCTCAGATCTAACGTCCTGCAATAGTGTGACCCAGACGACATGAGAGGGCAGGCGAAACTCTGCTGAACCCCACGGAGAAATTCTACCGCAAGATTTCAAAATTTTGCTGGGCTGGCAGATGCTTGTGGGAGGGGGAGCGTGACCTGGCCGGGTTCCAGCCACGAGCTGCTGACGTCACCCCGCTCTCTTCCTCCCCCCCCCCCCCCCCGTTCGCAACCCTTCTCCGAAACAAAGCTCGGAGGCTTCTCCCCAACCCGGCCAGGCGAAGCCATCGCCGCGGCAGGTGACCTCTTTAGGCGAGCCAGGCTGTCAAACGCTTGGTGGTCGCCCTCGGCTCCATTTATGCGCTCAGCCACTGGTGGAAAGGGAGAAGGGAGAGAGAGAGAGACCGCGGCTCCTGCTGCCACAGCCCCGCCTCTGCTCTTTCACTTGCGGGAGCCGCGGGTGCCGTGGCTGAGAGGAGCGGAAGCAACCGCGGCAGCTTCCCTCGCCGCTCGCCCCAAAAGGAGGAGCGAAGTGGGGCCAGGGTGGGGGTAACGGGCTGGAACAATATCGCCCCAAGCGTTGGGTGGAGCCTGGCGCATCTCCAGCATGTCAATTGCACGGGCTGCAATTTCGTTCCTCGACCCTCCGTCTTTCGCCTGAACAAAGGAGAGCCGGGAAGAGGGTTGAAGAACAGCGCTGCCGTTCGCCTATTTCCCTTCTCATGCTTCGTGTTCGGTTCTTTGTGAGAACAAAGCCCCCTTGCGAAGGCGGAGGAGGGAGATCCTGAGCTCATTTCCTTTTCAGGCGGGGAGGGGAGGGAGAGCAATTCGGTCGTCTTGGAAATTGGAGCTCCGTCCCGATTTTAAAAAAGCTCTCGACTCCCTGCCTTCAAAGGAACTGAACTGCAACTGATTCCTCCACCCCACCCCCCGCCGCCGCCGCCCTTGTTCAGCCTGGCTAAAACTATCGGGGGTTGCAATTCAGCAGCATCTACAGACCTGAGATTATAGCTGACAATGACATTATTAAAATTAGACGATCCAATTACTTCTTGTCTAACTCAACCCCCAATGAAGCTTTTGTTTTTATTTGGGGATTGAGTGTCACACACAAT